GAGACGGGGTTTCACCATGTTGACCAGGATGGTCTCGATCTCTTGACCTCGTGATCCACCCGCCTCGGCCTCCCAAAGTGCTGGGATTACAGGCTTGAGCCACCGCGCCCGGCCCAAGTGCATATAATTCTAAACCAATAGGATGTTTATGTAAAAGCACTTAATTTTTCTATTAAAATGTATGTTATTATTCTATTTGAGAATGTGTTCTTTATAATAAATATGCAGAATTACTAAATCATTCCTTCTAATTTAACAAATACTTGATGAAGCAAAACTAGTACACTTCTGGTAAGTCATATTCTTGGTTGCTATACATCTCATAGTAGTGTTCAATTCCTAAAAAGCTACTTTTACTTGTATTCATCCTTCAAAATGAATTCAAAAGCTCTAAGAAGCTTTCCCTGAATCCTTTAGGGATAGTGCCTCTGCTCAGAGTTCTGGTACTTCCCTGTTCATTCTTCTGTTATAGAATTATTAGTGGTTTTAGCAGTTAATAATTTCAAAGAATTAGTTATTAATAATAAAACCAGGGATCAGCACATTGAAGTATATGGGCCACCTTGTTTTGGAATAAACCATTCCTTTGTATTTCCCATTGCACTGTGTGCTTTTTGAGAGTCAGGACTATCTACTTTATCTCTAAACTCCTAAAGCCTAATACATAATAGGCAGCCAAAAGATAGTCATCAATCACTCACTCACCTGAGATTCATGTAAGTTTTAAAAACAGGGCAGTATCCTGAAAGGATCATACCTACCACACTGAAGTAGTATCTTCAATATATTATACAATATTAGTAAAATGTGGAGTATCTAGAAACCACGAGTTTAATATGGCATACATGTAAGTATACACACCTAAAATTTCCAAATTGCTGTTTTGCTTCCTTTGTTCTTGTAATATTAAACTCTTCCTACTGTTAATCCATCTCTATACTAGACTGTCAGCATAAAAAAGAAAGACAGTAAATAATTTTTAAATAAAGTGTGAAACATACAAGTTTTCATGTTAAAGGTTGATGAAAATTAAAATCCACAAAACAGACCTATGTAATAATATTTATATGTTATCTAAGATTTTTAAGTTATTTTAAGATATTTCATATTTACTGGTTCATGCTAATATTTAACAAGGTACAAATAACGCTAACGATAAAGCTTACTGACGGAAGCCGAGAAAAGAGGACTAAAATATATTTAGTACATATGTAAATGATAAAAGCAATTCATTAGATAATAGCATTTACATCTGACAATAATGGGAAAAAATTATAATGTTTTGAGGCTAACATTAAAACTTTCATTTATTTGCAAAACTAAACATCATTCAAAACTATGGGACTTTCGATACAAGTAAAATTATTCCTGTAGACTACAAAGCATCCATTTATAAAACTCGTGTGTGCTTTCAGTGACCTTTCAGTTGAAGTGAAACATAAAAGTAGTACAGGTTGAGTATTCCCTGTCCAAAATGCTTGGGACCATAAATGTTTCAGATTTCAGATTTTTTTTGAATTCTGGAATATTTGCAGTACCCCAGGTTAGCATTCCTAATCCAAAAATCCAAAATCTGAAATGCTCTAATGAACATTTCCTTTGAACACCATATCAATGCTCAAAAAGGTTCAAATTTTGGAACAATTCAGATTTCAGATTTTCAGATTAGGGATACTCAACTACGATAAAGAATAAAAAAAGGGAAATAATTTACTGAACTTTTAAAATAGCAATGCCAAAACTTTGTTACTATATATCATAGATTACTGCTAATGCTTATAAGACTTTTTCCTGATTAAATTATTAGCCAAATCACTAGAGACACCAAAATTCTGATCCCTAATCTTGATGGAGTTCTTAGGCACTCTTAGGACCTTACAACATTATCTGCATAACTATTCATGCATTTACATTCTATCTTTCCTCTAAGCTTCAAAGGGAAAGGAATCAAGTTATTGATTCATATCTATCATATTGTCTTGAACAGAGCATAAGCTTAATAAACATCTGATAAATAGACATACTAAATGCTGTAAACTAGATTAAAATTTCTGGGGCAACAACTAGTGTTACACATTTTCATGTAAAAGATGCAGTTTCATGTCTTTTAAATGTTCAATACTCCTGAAAATATTCTGAACTACTGAGCCATACAGCTATGACTATTACATCCTTTTTAAACCTTCATCATGTTCAGTAAACTATACTATACAAACCTTAAAAACCTTGTCTGGCCCAGCATAAGCTTATAATTCCTAAAGCACAAAATAAATGTGAAAACAAGATGTGCTGTAGTTTCTAAGAATCATTTATTTTAGTAACAAATACTTAGGAACACCTACCAGGTTTTAGGCACAGATAAATAAACACGCTCAAAAATCTTACAGTCTAATGTGAAAGATCAATATTAAATATGCAATTGATGATTTAATTACAAGTATGTAAAGTATTATAGGAGAACGGCATAGAAAAGGGAACTACAAGAAAGGTTAGTGAAGGTGTTAACCTAGTCTGAACTAGTCTGAAGATAGTAAAAATACAGTATCTACACAAACTTTTAAAAAAAATATTTAGCTCCTTGAAGACAGGATCAGCATTCTGCTGTTGTTTAGACCCCAACCCTTAGGACTAACAAAATAAATAATTTATTCAGTCAACAAATATTTACTGAGTACCTATGACGTGCTAAGGCTAAGCTCTTAGTAAAGTGCTAGAAACACAACAGTAAGCAAGAGAGGCAAAGGCCCTTTTGCTCTCTCGACAGATGTTTTCTGAAATGCACGTATAATGGTTTCATAAGAATTTCAATTTATTGGGTTTTACTTTTGTTTCTGGGAGACTGTCATGCTAGATTGCAATAGTTACTTCTTAGGAATACATCACAGTGGTCGAAGCTACTTAATTAAAAAAAATTTTTTTGAGACAGGGTCTTATTCTGCTGGACTGCAGTGATGTAAATGAAGCCTCTACAGCTAATTTTTATATTTTTATTGTAGAGATAGGGTTTCACCACGCTGCCCAGGCTAAATTTTTTTTAAGTGTCTTAGCAGTGTAAAGGAAGAATATTAACCTGTTATTAACTGTTTGTTAAAATATAACTTAAAAAGCAGTGGATAAAATACAAATGTCTATATATTTATGTTTAACATATAACATAAAATCAAACGAGTTAAAAATACTTCTTAAGACAGAAATATTTTTAAAAATTCTTTAAAAAACCTAGATAAGGCTAGGCGTGATGGCTCCCACCTGTAATCCTACCACTTTGGGAGGCTGAGGCAGGTGGATTACAAGGTCAAGAGACCATCTTGGCCAACATGGTGAAACTCTGTCTCTACAAAAATACAAAAAAAATTAGCCGAGTGTGGTGGTGCGTGCCTGTAAGTCCCAGCTACTTGGGAGGCTGAGGCAGAAGAATTGCTTGAAACCAGAAAACAGAAGTTGCAGTGAGCTGGGATCACACCAGTGCACTCCAGCCTGGCGATATAGCGAGACACTGTCTCAAAAATTTTAAAAAAAAAAAAAATCTAGATGAAATCACTCTCTCTTCCTATTCTTTCATATCTGACTTTTAAAGTAACTTATGAATGGGGCAAGTTTACACACAGTACTACCCTTAGTCATTCTTAGTTTAAGAATATGATATGCACTAAGAATGTGACAAATAATTTGAAAAATTATATATAAACACTATTTTAATATTTTATTTTATAAAAATATTTTATATATTGTTTATATTATATATTTTAATAAACGTATATTTACTTATAAACAAATATGTTTACATAAACATTTTTGCTCACATATAAACATAAAAAATGTTTATATTACATTATGTTTATATGTGTATGTTTATATTATAAACATTACATATAATTTATATTATATTTACACATAAACATAAATAATAAGAGATCCAAGATTCCAGCCAACAAATGAGAAATTATATTGTCATAATCTAGATGAAATTGAACCAGGATAATGTAACATCATTCATTTACACTTGAAAATTTTGAAGGGATGGAATGAAGAATGTCAGGCTAAAATATGTATCTAGATCACGGAAAATAATCATACTACACTTCATTATTTATCTCCTACAGAAAGGCAGTGAAACAACATTTTTAGAAAAGAAGCACAGACTCTAGAACTAAACTGCTTAAGTTTAAATTCCAGCTCCACCATGACAAGCAATGTAACTTTGAAAAGTTACCTGGACTTTCTGAGCCTCAATTGTCTTAACTGGAAAATAAGACTAATAATATATTTACTTTACAGGGTTATTACAAGGAATGATAATTTAGTATTTGTAAGATGCTTAAAACTGTGCCTGGCAGATATATAAATAACAGCTGATATTATTTTTAAAGTATAAGCTTCAATTCAGGGTAACATATTTCAAGAAAGGCAAACCAGAGTATATTTAACAAGTAACTTTTAATTTTTCTTAGTTATCAACTCTTTGAAAGCTATAGACCTTTTCTTCAGAAAGAAATCATATAATTACTTTCAAGTGGTTTGTGGACTTTCTAAAAGTCAGCTCAGACATCAAGGGTTTTGGACCTCACAGGTTTAAAATTTCTAATCTATGGATGGCAAACAAGGTGGTAAGAAAAAACGTGGACTGGAAACTGTAATAAAAAGAACAGTTAAAGGTACGTGAGAATATGTGGCTTTGAAATATTGAGAACACAGTCGTTGCTCTCAAATTTAAAACATGGTATCAGTGAGGAAGCAGTACTCAGGTTTTATTGCTGCATATTACTGAAGAAAGAATAGGTTACAGAAAGGAAGACTGGTATTTAGAATAAAAAAGAATAGAATCTGAATCCCCATCTGCTAGGAATATAGTTTTCTGTATTAAGAGGTTAAATTAGGTCAATTCTAATGATCCCATCAACATTATAAGATCTATTCAACAACAGAATGGCTCAAGAACTATTGCCAGGCACTATCAACAGAGAAGTGAACAAAACAAACAAAAATTCTTGCCCTCATGATTCTAAGTTTGGTTAGCAGAGATAATGCTGTCACTAACCACGGAAAATAAATTTTGGAAAGTAGTAAACATTTTTACCAGTCTACTTTCAAAAAGCAGACACTTTCCATCTGCTAGAGAATATTCTACAGTTATATCTTTAAAAATATTAGTTTTCATGGGATTAGAAAGTATTTGCTACTTTATTTTAACATCAGGAACTGGCAATTTAGAATAGTTTATTTTCCCCACTGAAACACACTTATTGCTCTTCATCCTCATCAGTGCTAATCTGGCATTGCTAAAAAAACTAAAGGGTGGTCTGCAACCAACCTGAGTCAGTTTACTGAGAGATTTGAAGTTCCCCAATCAAATACTTACTTGACTCACCATAATCTCAAGCACACTCTGAATTGAACAACCTATTCCAGAAGGAAGAATTAGCTATGCAAAGAGGAATAACTAAGAAATCAGAAAAGGAACTTACATATTTATTTATAGACATGTTTTCATACCCTGAACTCACTAGAAACAAAAAGAAAGCAAAACAAAACTGTTTTCCAAAGTGTAAAGCCAAATGTGAAAGTAACGGCTAGGGAACAAAAATGTGTTGCAAAGCTTAGACAGTACAGCAAACCTATGCTCTATAAAACTAATCTAATTTCTGGAACTGTCCATTTTAGCTTAGTATCCCAATTAGATGAAAGGGATATGAAAAGAAAGGCAAATAACATGTAGAAAATGTTGAATGAATTGGTATTTTAAAAACTTTCTGTTCTGACATGATGCTTTACCAAGTAAGATAATGAATTTTGAGAAAACTTTTATATTAAAAGAAATACCTTAAAGCTTTGTAATTTTACCTACTTAATGCTGAACTTGTTTTATTAAGATCTACTTGCTAAGCTTGAAAAAACCTTAGTATCTCAAATTTTGGTTCAATTTCCTAGGAAATACTCACCGTATGTCTAGACATGTAAAAATTAAACATATATTTTTAAATGTCTGTTAATATTTTGAACTGTCAAATAGAACTAGCTTTATAAAATTTAAAGGTATGATATTTAAACTAGGCATCTCATAGTAATCTTAGCTGTAATCTAATTAGGTTCTTAAATAGCATCATATAATGACCTGTGTTTATTTCCTCTGCAATTTCCACATCTTCTATTTGAATTGTATGATCCAACATCTCCATAAAATGGTCTCTGATTTCTTCAGCCGACTCATCATCAAATTTATAATCACACAACATTACAGTGGATCCAGGAAGGGGAACAAAGACTCGACGAGGGAGGATGTGGAACTCTTTTTCAGAATCTAAAAGGAGAAAAAATATTATCAATATTTAGATAGGTTTGTCACTGGTATCAGTGATACATATTTTATAAGTATATAAAAACAAATACAAATAAAGCTTAAAAGGTCAATGTTTTTTCATTTTCTAGTTGATCTGGCACAAAATTGCTGTTACCGAATTCCGTTTTACCTCAAAACCCCTGGCTTTTGCAAGGAATCTAAATGATACACCTACAAAAAATAAACTTATCGCCGGGTGTTGGGGCTCATGCCTATAATCCCAGCACTTTGAGAGGCTGAGGCAGGTGGATCATTGGAGCTCAGGAGTTTGAGACCAGCCTGGCCAACATGGAGAAACCTCGTTTCTACTAAAAATACAAAAACTATTCAGGTGTGATGGCCTGTAATCCCAGCTACTCAGGAGGATGAGGCAGGAGAATTGCTTGAACCCGGAGGTGGCGGTTGCAGTGAGTCAAGATAGCACCACTGCACTCCAGCCTGGGCAACAGAGCAAGACTCCATCTCAAAATAAAAATAAAATAAACTTATTGCCTTCAATGTAAAGATGTTGATTACACATTCTTATATGACACACTGCCCTATGAGGGACACTCAAGAGACAATTTTGTCCTTGGTGTCAGAAACTATTGTCCTTCTTGTTTCTTTTACCCTCATAGGCACTGTACATTTTATAGTGGTTTTTCTCTTCTTCATCCAAGTTTGGAGCCAAATTAGTGGCCGCCTTACACCAAGCGTACAGGATCTGACAGCATATATTTTTGTACTAATCTAACCATGAATTTCATCTTACTAGATGTAGCCCCCCTTCGTATTCAAGCATGTTTAGGACATCAAGTCATACATACGTTTTTGTGTACCAATCTCACTACCAATTCCATTTTGCTTTCTTTTTTTACCTTCCCTTTGACTCTTTATTACTAACATTTATTTTCACTTGTTTGCTTGTCTTCTTTGTTAAAAGCTTAAATCATTTTTATAAAAAATAAATCTAAATAATATTTCATTCTTCCTTGAATATTTACAAACTGAAATTATTTCCCCTAATTTCTAACACAAAGAGTCACTGTTACATGTAAATAATTAACTACTTTTTAGTTCAACACTACACTTCTTATGGCTATCACAAAGATGGAAATTTTGTGAAAAGAATGACCTCTTTCAGCAACAGACATGATTAAAAAGCTACGAATGTAAAGATCAAGTAGAAAACTAGGGCTTACTTTAATAGTAACCTAGACTTTGTTGTCAAGAAACTAGTGGTAACTTTACATAATTACAAAAGATGACGAACAATGCCTTATGTATCACAGAAAAGGCAATGAGTTAAACTACCCGTTCCTTCCAGGTTCTGTGTATTATTTCGTTTGCACATGAGAACTGGGAGGTAAATTTTACTGTTTGACCAGATTGCCTCCTAGCTGTAGAAGAATATTACTGCAATTTGAAGTATAGCACAAAAATTGTCCACACATTGAATTTAAGACTATACTATTTTATTTTGGGCTACAGTTACTTGAAACAGATTAAGTAAAAACTCAAAAATGACCATAATGTGCATGTGCAATTGGCATGCAAAATTTTAAAACATTTCAAACTACATAAATTCTTGGTGTCTCTGAAAAATAACAAGCTAAAAAAAGCAAACGTTAAGGAATTGGTTCCAATAAATTTAAATTACTCATTAAAAAATAAAAAACACTTATAATTTTCAAATTAAGAAGTTAAATTACCAATTTAGTATCTAAATAAGACTCATTTTCTGTTGGTCTTAGGTTGAAATGGGAGGAGAAATCTTTTTGAAAAGACCCATCTCAAAAAGCATTCCAAAGAAGACTCCTTCAGGAATAACCTCATGCCACAGTATCTAGTTCAACATTATCTGAATAAATTCAAAACAAATAAAAAATTTTAAATTTTAGCCAATATAATAAAAATTGAGCTTCTACTGGTTAGATGTCCCAGCTGGTATCAGAGTATTATAGGAAGTTTTAAGATATTTAAGTATTTATTTTTTATAGAAACTTTTTT